AGAACGTCGTCAATGTAGTTTACTGCAAAGCCATCTAAACTATTTTTCCTTATTATGCTGGACAAAATTCGCTGGAAGATTGCCGGCGAAGATTTCAAACCGAATGGTAAACAACACCATTGCCAATGCCCATGATGTGTTACGAACGCTGTTTTGTATCTGTCTTTATCACGCAACGGTATCGACCAAAACGCCGAATTCACGTCTAGCTTTGTGAAATAGTTACAATTTCTCGCCCGTAACGTCAAATCTTCGATTCTCGGAAAAGGTTGGCTTTCTGGTACCACTATCTTGTTCAACTCTCTATAATCGATACATAAGCGGGATTTTCTCGCTTCTTCTTTTTTGTATACTAATGTAACCGGCGCGGCGTATGGACTACATGATTCCTCTATTAATCCCGCTTTCAGTAATTGTTTAATCTGGCTTTCAATTTCTGTCTTATCTTGAATTGAACATTTATACGGTTTTTTTGCTATGTACTTGTTTTCCGTAAGTTTTATCATGGCTTTATAATTTTTAACTGTCCCAATATCAAATTTCTCTTTTGCGAACACTCTATTGTGTTTCGTCATTAGATTTTCCAGGCTATTATCTGAATTGATGTTATTTATTACATTTATACTCGTTCCGGCCCTTTCTTTTATTTGTTTTATGTTTTCCTTATTATTTTGCCATATTTTCAAATTTTCGTCCTGACAAAGTTTGAATTCTTTTATGCAGTCTAAGCCTAACAATACATCCTCTCTAAATGAGTCACTCTTTATTATGAAAAATGAAAATTGTTTCGTTATATCGTAAATTTTCACTGCTAGAGTAATCATACCTTCGGTTTTTGAAATTCCTGAAATCGTTTCAATGTTTTTATCCCCACTTACATTTTTATTTAAATTCTGCTTTTTCCAAAAATTATAATTTATTAGAGATATATTGGCTCCCGAATCATAGAGACCAATGGCTGTTTTATTATTTATTAGGATTTTTAGTCTTATAAGTGGGGTTACTATTCGTTTTTTGCTGCTTCCGCGAGAGCAATTGTATCCTGAATCTCTATATTATTTGCTACTTTAATTTTGTCATTTCTACCTGCTTTTTGATGTGCGATTTTCGTGCGACAGATTTGTTCTGGATGAAATCTATTTGGGAAACCTGCTCTCTCGCAGTATGAACAGGGTTTGTATTTATTTTGATTCTTGTGTTTCTCGTCGTTTCCTTCACTTGCATTATTATTATACTTATTTCTCAAAGGTTCTATTTGCCTAAGCGTTGCCATTAAATCTTCCATGTTTGTTAAACTTCTCTTATTTAACCGGGATCTGACAACTTGGGGTAGAGCTATCACTATTAGGTTTATTTGAGAGCAAAGAGTTAAATTCGGGTCCACGTCTATTAACATGTTTCTCTTTTTTAACGCAAACTCCAAAAAAGATCCATTTAAATATTTGAATGTGTAAGCGTACGCGATTTCGGACCACGATTTTTGGCCGAACGTGTCCACAAATGAATTATTCCAAAATTCCCAGGCGTGTGATAGTGAATTGGTTTTTAAAAATATTGAAAACCACTCTAAAGCTGAACCTTCTAGAAATAATCTCAGAACTTCTGGGAATTTGTTTTCCCTTATTTCCAGTCTTCTACATTCTGTTACAAAAAGCTCAAGCCATGCCTCTGCATTCAAATTTTTTCCATTAAATTTTTCTAGTATCATGTTTTTTGAGATAGAATGGATTGGTTTTTCGGGAGTCGGGGTTTCGGCCGCAGGGCCTTGCGAAGGAATGGGGGGATCATTCTGAATCGCCTCCAAATAATACTCCTTAAAAATCACATTACCTTCATCATCCAAATAAATTTCCTTCAGATCGCCTTCCGTCAAAGTTATGACCACATTTCGGAATTTGTTGCGTGTCTTCAAACTTTTGACGACTCCCTTTGTTACGGCGTTTTCAAAAAGTTGTGGGTGTTGAGCACTCGTTTGCAGATCTCGGGGAAATTGGAAGATTTCTTGTTGACCCACCAGTTGAATCGTCTTGACTCTCACCACCGTGGTTTTGGTGTCAGTGGCTTCAGATACGAAGTGGAACCTTGCCTTGATGTTCTCCATATTGTGTTGATTTGTAAGTCTCGAAATCAGAGGCTCGATGGACTTGAAGGAGAGGAGAGCCGAATAACTCGACAAGTGTAGTTGCAGCTAGTAATAACTGTTTATAACACATAAAACCAAATGATGCTTACAATTTCTACAACTGCTACAATTACCTTAATACTACTACCGCACCTGAATCAACACAATTGTCGGTATCTCGTTCTAACCGTACAGCGGTTTTATTCTATCGAACGTCTGTGCCGCCTGGCGGCTAACCAGCGTATGCCTCGCTGCCCGCGCGCTGTGTTTCTAAGGAGTGTCACTCAGTTACCTTTAGTCACGTACCTGACGTAATCAGTAACGAAGACGTCTCAGTGACTAAAGTTGCTAAGGCGTCAGACTTACATACACGAAACTTTAGACATGAAAATTAAGTATTTACAAATTTTGTATACCTACTAACCACATATTTCGCCTTCCATTCTCATAGTCTCTTAACATATATCTTGATAACTGAGACGAACTCCAAACTCTGGCATCATGTGTACGGCCACCATGATTTGCTTTCACTGCTAATATTTTACCATAGTAATCACTAATCTAATTAGCAATAACAAACACATAAATATGTCCATGTATTATAGGTATGTACGTAAATATTAAAGTATTGTATTTAATATTTTATATAAAAAATTATATAGATACTAAATACTTACGATCATAACATTCAAAGAATGATATAATTTTCTGTTAATATATAAATGTTCTCTGTTTTTTTCAGGTGGGTAAATCGCTATATGTGTGCCATCAATAGCTCCTATCACACCTGGAAAATTAGTGTTAATCCAATACCTGAAACTGTTCCGGATTCAATCATGAATCTCGGTCTGTTCGTCACCGGCGTGATGGCAGCATTAGCCGGGTCGGATCGTGCAGCGCCACAGGGGCGCTGCGCGCGCATGCCCGATCGCGACGCGAGGCGACCGCGCTTCTTCACGCTCGTTTCCGGGGCTTTTTGCTCATGGCTACGGTACGAAGTACACGCGTCGTGCAGTGCTAAAGATTCTCAAGTGCTCGGGATACAGCATCACCGGCGGCTCAAGCTCACCACGCATCGCACGCCGGCGTCGCGTGGACACGGCTCACGGGCATCTACAATCACGAGGCCGGTCATCGATTAATATAATCGACCCGTGCAAGTGACAAAGAGACTGATCATCCCCATTAACCCTAGACTGCTCAAACTGTAAGCTTTTACATTTATTAAACGGACCACGGTATTTTACACAATCGATTCGAGTTACGATCACGTGATTTCTAACCTCTCACGCGTGCATCCGTTCCTCGAGCCTCTCACCGCTAAGTCCTCTCAGCCCTGCTTCCAACCGCAGCGGTCCAGCGAGCTCTCCCAAAGAGAGTCGCGAACATTTTTTGGTCCTTCGAGCCGGATAGCGGCGAGGCTCTTGGACGGCCCATCTCAACCACGCAGTGATCACGTGATCTCACGGCCCTTTCGCGTGATCAGTGGCGCGCACGTACACGGTTCTACGCATTGTTCACGCGATTTCACGATTCTCTCGCGTGACTCCCATCGCTATATTCTCTCTCTCGTCGGACGGCGAGACTTCTCACCTCTTCGCGCTCTCACCATGGACGACAAGACGGGCAAGACGGAACGCGCGAAAACCCCGGTGTTGGAGCTGCCGCTCGGAGACCGCACGTCGGGAAGAACGTCGTCTCCTGCCCGGCTTTCGACGGAGCTCGCGCTGAAGGTCCAGACGCAGATGGGCCGGATCGCGACGCTCAGGGAGCTCACCGAGGCGCTGCCGGAGGTCCCGGCGCAGACGTCGCTCGAGGAGGTCTCGCAGTTCCAACTGCTGGTGGAGGAAACGCACAAGGCGTTCATCAAGGAACACGCCTACTTTGAGATCTCATGGCCGTCGGCGCTCATTCAACATTAGTATTTCGCTGGAAATGCTCACCAGGAAGAGTCGCGGTGCTACATGCAGGCGCGACGGGTCATAGGCGTGCTGCGCCACGCATTGACAGCTCAGGCCCCGCAACCGCAGCCCAGCTCATCGGCCGGCGATACTCGGCAGACAATCTCACGCTTGCCGGACATCACTCTCCCCAAATTCGCCGGGGATTATTCCGCGTGGCCTGCGTTCAGAGACCTGTTCACCAGCCTGGTCATGCAACACGAGCAACTCACGAACGTGGAGAGGCTCCATTACCTCCGTTCGTCGGTGGAAGGCACGCCTGGCTCAACTGATCGCAGGATTTACCATGTCCGGAGACTCCCTCACGCCGTTCTGGGAGTTACTCAAGGATAGATACGAGAACAAGCGCCTGCTCATCCACGCCTGCCTGGATAAATTGTTCGCCAGCTCAACCCCGGTGCCAAGAAAGGCGGCTGCCTTGGATCGGCTGGTCTCAGGAACCAAGGAAGCGCTCAAGGGACTGGAGGCCCTCGAGGTGACTCGGAGACTGCGCTGTGGTGTACCATGTCACGCGCCTCTTGGACCGCACGACACGCGAGCAGTGGGAGAACTTTGTTGGCGCCACGCGCGACTATCCCACATTCACGAAGCTCGAAGAGTTCCTGACGACTCGTATGCGGGCGCTCGAGCGGATAGAGAATACGACGACTCAACCTGGTTCCAGCTCAGTAACTCCACCAACGAAGAAGACGGCTGCTCATCAGTCTGCTCATCAGGTCGATACAACATACCCGTGCGACTGCTGCGGAGCGCAGCATTTTATCGTGACGTGCAGCAAGTTCCGGGCGCTATCACCATACGAGCGGCACACGGTGGCGATACAGAGGCGGTTGTGCTTCAATTGCCTGGGACGTCATGGTGTGCGCGCATGCAAGTCTCAGAGAGGCTGTAAGACCTGCTCAGGGCGGCACCATACCATGCTGCACGGTACACAGGCAGCCTCATCGGCAGCTCAGACGTCCGGTGGGTCATCGGCCACTCCCGCTAATTGAAGAGTCGGTGCAGTCGTCGAGACCAGCTCACCCGTCCGCTCACCCTGCTCGACTCTACTCGCCACAGCCTTGGCATCAGTCAACTCATCGCCAACGCATCACTCAGCGCGCCTGCTCATTGACACCGGATCCGAGCTCACCTTCGTCTCGGAGAATCTCACTCGGCAGCTCAACATCCCTCGTCAACACTCAGGCATTCTCATCACTGGAATTGCAGGCAAGGAGTGTACTCGGACACGAGGAGTCGTGTCACTCACGTTATGCTCGATGCATTCCAACGCAGCTGCCACAATTCAAGCTCATGTCCTCCGGACAGTTACATCAATCTTACCATCGTTCGAGGCGGAACCGGAGGAATGGCCGCATCTCAAGGACTTGGCATTAGCCGATCCTGACTTTCTCATTCCGCGGCCAGTTGACATCCTCATCGGCGCAGACGCTTACGGGCAAATCATCAAGCCCAATATCATTCGGCATTCTCCACTCATGCCGATAGTGCAACTCTCCATTTTCGGATGGCTCGTTCTTGGACCAGTCAATAGGGAAGCAACACGCACATCAACGCACCATGCTTCTACTCAAGTCAACGAGGATGCTCTCAACGAGTTACTGACAAAATTCTGGGTTCAAGAGGAGGTGCCTACTCACGATGTCAACCAACTCACTCCTGACGAGCAGAGGTGCGAAGAGCACTTCAAGGCCACACACTCTCGTGATTCTTCAGGGAGGTACGTCGTCAGGATTCCGCTCAAATCACCAGTATATCTTCTGGGTGACTCGTACCACGTCGCCCATCAGTGCCTCAAGGGACTACGCAGACGATTCTCAAGGGATGTGAACTATCAACGTCTCTATCAACAATTCATGATGGAGTACGAGACACTCAACCACATGACGAAGGCATCATCCATCTCCAGTCGTCGCTCACACTTCTACCTGCCACATCACGGTGTTCTCAAGCCTGACAGTACAACAACGAAGCTGCGAGTCGTATTTAATGGCTCCAGCGCATCAACATCGGGCTACTCTGCTAACGACCTCATGTATACTGGAGCGAAATTGCATCTGAATATCTCAGATGTTCTCCTCTGGATACGAAGACACCGTCACATTTTCGCTACGGACATCACCAAGATGTACAGGCAGATCAAGATTCACAAGGATGACTGGGAGTTGCAGCGAATACTCTGGATGGACAATCAACTCAATGAAGTGCCATATCATCTGACAACCGTCACCTACGGGACAAAGGCCGCGCCGTTCTTGGCCGTACGGACGCTATTACAATTAGCAGAGGACGAAGGGCATAACTATCCACTGGCCGTGCCATCCATCACTCATGGCAGGTATGTCGATGACATATTTGGTGGTGCAGATACGATTCAACAA